AGACACACACAGAGGGCAAACCACATGAGGAGAGAGCAGCAGCCAGGCATGCACCGTACGCCGCACACCACGCACGACACACACTCCAATCCAAGGCAACAGGCACACACACACACAGCCCTGCCACAACACCAACACACAGATGGAGGAGGGAGAAGCAAACAGGAGCGGCACACAAGGCTCCACCGCATGTAAATACGGCGAGAGCGGTCCGTCGTGTCTGCTCCCCTCACGGAGGATACACACACACACGAGAATAGGTGCAGCGCACACAGCAACACAACAGCAAAGTAACCATCGAAAAAGGAGAGATCCCCGCACACCACGTGGATTGTTGGTCCACGGGAAGCGCAGCCACCACCGCAGCAGCAGCCGCACACGCAAAGTCAAGCGCAAGGAATGGAATAAAGCAGCCATTTATTCGTGTTTCTTTTTGGAGGGTGGAAGATGTCTGCATATGTTGTTATTGTTTTTGCGGAGGGCAAACCTTCATGCCTGCATCGTCTGTTAGGGTTCCTGCAGTGTGCACAACTGTTTCCTTCTCTTGTGAATTTTTATTGTTGGTGCAGCCAATAATTCAATTTGTGTTGTTCCTGCTTTTCGCTGGTAAAAGTGCTGCAATAGATGTTTTTATTTCCTCCTTCGTTGCTGTGGCACCTGATTCCTCACCGTTTATTGCGGTGGAAATGAGAATATGTGAGTGGACTCCCACGCACCAGAACGCACCTTCGCTCCTATTTATTGGTGCACAGAAGGGCATGTGTGTTTGGTGGTGCCTCGACCATATATTCTTGTGGGCGTACATTCCCCTGCAGGCTGAGGGCGGGGTGACGCTCCGTCGCGGTGCACTTCCTTCGCATGCCGCCCACTGTGGTTCATCATGCATCACCCCCTCACATATTCCGTGGTGCCACACCGCTGATATTATTGCAGCCACTGTGATTCCGCGTATTTCACGCATTTCATTCTGCCACAATACATCCGCTCGTGTGGCCGCCGCATCCAAACAGCGGTGCCCAACACCGTGAGCGGCAGTCCACATCCTTGCATGTCCCAACGCAGTGGTGCTTGACTGTCAGCCAGGCGCCAGACAAAACGAGAGTATTGTGCTGGCAGTACAACACACGGAGCTGCATTGAATGACTCGGGCGGCGACGCATCTATTTGTCGCAAAGCAGTGAAAAGGAGTCGGGCAAAATAATGCCGGCTGCATGCACGACACCATATCCACAGCCAAAGCATGCGACGTGATGTGTGTTTCATTGGTGCTGTGAAATGCCTGCAGACGACGTCACTAGTGGAGGCACACCACCCATGATCAGCGGACAGACAATAATCGGCATGGGAGACCACAAAAGGCAGCAACGACGCCAGCGGCAGCAGCACTCTCTCCCTCTCTCTCTCTGTTGCCTCCGAGAAGTAATTATTCCACCAGCCACAGCTGACTGTGCCATCGTGACACTCCATGCACGTCGTGGCTGCGTCAACACATCCTGCTCCCTGCAGCGCCTCAAAAGATGCATCACTCCGTCCACTAAGTGCATCGATGCGGGCCGTGCCTGGGCTGCTCGTCAGGACCACAGCGATGTGAGGGTCACCGAGTCGCAGCATGTTTGTTGTGACGTTGTTGCATGGCACCTGCACACACACACGCAGCGCCTGCATCCCTCCCTTTTGTGTTCGCCCTCTGCCGGAGTGGTCACACACACGGGCAGCAGCAAAATCATTTCATCCTCGACGATCCAAAATCAACACCGACATCCCTCGCGACGCAAAGATCTCAGCTGCCAGCACGGGCCTCCTGCCGCTCTGCCATCGATGCCGAAACACGGCACAGTGCACGCACTTATTTTCCTCGTGTTCCGTCAGCCGTTTGGTTCACACATTCTCCGACGGGCTGACGCCCACCAAAGCACGCCACAAAAGCCACTGTGATCACACAAGCTCTTGCGATGAGCGTCTGTGTGTGCATGGATCCGCTGCTCACACGTGCTGGCAGGCAGCCTGCAGCCGGTGCCCTCGTGCCAGTTCATCGGCTCCAGCATGGGAAAGAGAAAATGGCCAATTCCTCGTGTACTTATTCCCACCGGCAGTGCCAACACGCTGGTCGCCAGCCGTCATTCCTCAGCACATCCAGGAATGCTGAAAAGTGACGTGGAACCGTCAGCCAGCAATGCCACAATCCCCGCACACATGTCGGCTCCACCAGAGAAGACACACAAACTACAAACAACACCCCTCACATGTTTTCCGAACATCATTCCAACACACCGCGACACGCCAAACAGAAGTATTCGTCACTCCATGCACCTCCCCACACAATCACATAGTCCATGCACCACGCACGGCAGCAGCTCACACCCGTCTAAAGTGTTCCTCGGACCAGTGTTGTCCACGTGCTGCAGTGGGAAGCAAACAAAAGAGACGGGCCGCCAAACCCCAAAAGAGTGCAACGACTGGCCGCAAGTCAACGGAACGCTGCCACTCAAAACAATTCAGTCCTCATGCCCTCAACCTCCCACCTTCTCCCACAAAAGCCCCAAGTGCTGCCAATCAAGCGCGCCGTCCAACGAAGTCGCTGTGCAACACCAGGAGGAATCGCAGTGCCTCCTGCTGCCATACGGGTCCGTTGTGGACGCCATGATGAGTAGAAACGCCCATTGGTGCTTCGAAACGACGCTGCACACCTGCGACGCATCATGCGGTTTGAGACGCACGTGCCTCACCAGCACCACAGACGCCCACGCGCCGTCGGTACGCCCTACATCGTCAAGGAAACAGAGGATACGTCAGGGTGGCAGCAAAGCACTCGCTGGCAATTCACGTCGCAGGCATCACCACAAGCAGCTCCAGCAGCGCTGCAGACCGTGGGGTGCCGTGGATCAACTGACGCATGGCGTATGTGGAAAAGAAAAGGACGTGGTGGCTTTACAAGGATACGAGTGGCTGACACTTTTGGAAGGAGAAAGAAAACAATGTGGTAACACACAAAGAGGAATCAGGCGTCCGCAGTCAAAGCAAACCAGCAATCAAAAAAAGTAGGATGGGTGCACTCAACCACAACACAGGCAGAGAATAAAAAATACCAACAACAAAAGCCGAAGCGTGGGGGCGTCCACCCAGCAGTGGGGACGCGCAGCAACAGGTGGGACGACCAGCGCACACACTCTCATTGCTCCCGTAAAGCAAAACACACACACAGGGAGAGAGAGAGAGAGAGGTTGCCCACTCAATGCAATGGAAACAAAACAAAAACAGTTACGGTGCTCCGCCCATGCAGCCAGGCAGGACGGCAGCGGTGCGTGTCGTGCAAAAGAGAGCACCAACGGGCCTGCATGGGTGTGCATGCATATATACAATGGGCACATTATGTGTGTGCTTCGTGGGATGAGGTGAGGGCGAGAGTCCATGCAAGGGGAGACACAGAGAGAGAAGGACGAGTGTGTGTGCGGGCGGTGCATGGCTCTCTCTCACTCACTCTCACGCAGCCACCACCGCAGCAGCAGCCGCACACGCAACAACAAGAAGCAAAAGAGGGGAGGTGGTGTGGGAGACCGCGGTGCTGCCGTCACTGTCGCCAGGCGTTGCCGTACCATCTGTTCTGGCGGTAGCTGCTGCTTTCGCTGTCAGTGGGTTTGTCTCACTGGCTGTGGGCGCAACGTTGGTATGACTGGCTTCGGGGTCGTTGTGTGGCCCTCTGGGGTTGGGCCCTTTGCTGTTGTCGTCATTCCCATCCGCCTTACTCTGGCCATCACCACTGCCACTTGTAGAGATGGATGATGCCGTTACTTCCGCCGGGCTGCCGGTAGGTTCACCCTTCAGATCCGTTAAAACAGTGCCTTGACCCTGTTGCTCTGCCACACCATCTCCAGAAGTAGGCTCCGTCTCTTCAGGCTCCTTTTTGTTTGGTGACGGTGGCGTTTTTGTCCTTTCTTCTGTCAAAGTTTGCGAGTCTGTTTGTGCTGTTGGGCTTCCTCCTGCCGGAACTGCCACTGCTGTTGCTCGTTCTTCTCTTACCGTTGCTGGCGCTGGCGGTGGTAGTGGCGGGCTGCTGGCGGTGGAAATCACGGTGGAAGGACCTTGTGCCTCCGCGTCACTCCGCCGTTTCTCGTCTCCAGTTGCAGCCCTACCAGCAGCTTCACTTTCTGGTTTTTCTTGTTTACTGGGAGAGTCTTCTTGTGCTTCGGGTGTTGACTCCGCTGGTGCCGACAATTTGGGCAATTCGTTCCGTGCACGATTTGCTTCTGACTGCTCACCTGCTTCTTGAGGTTTCCTTCCCTTTGTGGATGCCGCAGCGCCGGTTTTCTCCAAGGCATCACTCTCGTCGGTGATGGAGGGTGGGGAATTACCACCAGCAACAGGAGCGCTCAAAGATGCATCACCACCTGGACTGCCAACATCAGGTTGACTGCGACCACCAGAAGAAAAGGAGCCCAAAATGAAACCTTTGCTTCCGTCAGAACCTGCACTTCCTGTAGGAGCCCCAGGAGAACTGCCACCATCACCGAGAACAGGAGATGGGGACTTGACATCCGAAGCAGGGGACTTCAAAGAGCCACCAAAATGTGCTTTAGAACCTCCATTTGAGCCACCACCACCACCGCCACCAGAAGCTTTCCTGCCACGAGCTTGACTGCCACTGGCACCCCCAACGCCACCAGGACCGCCAGCATCGTCGTTTCTACCGCCTCCACCCTCACCTCCGCGACCAGGAGGAGAACCGGCACCACCGAAATCAGCACCTGAAGTTGGAGCTAAATCCGATTTATTTTCTGCTGTACCACTCACCAATGGGTCAGTCGAAGCTTCAACGGCAGTGATGGACACGACAGATCGTAAAGGCAGCGTCAGCGCAGTTTTGTCACATCCGCTCGGCGTGTACGATTTATTCGTATTCAACACTCCCGACGCCATGCAGCCGCCAACTGCGTTGTTCTCGAGATTACTCGCATCAACCCCGCCGGCACCGCACCACAGCACGCAGAGGGCACACACCAGCAGCACACGGCCAGTCATCATCATCGCCATCACTCCTGTCACTTGCCTGCAGCCTTCAGCACAAAATAACTCCCCGTCAACGCAGAGCGGAAGCAAAAGGAGAGACACGGCCGCTACACCACGCACAGCCACCGCACAGTCACAAATGGCAGCAGCCCAGCAGCGGCAGCGCACACACACCATGAGGCAGTTGAAACCAGTGAAAGGGCAAAAACACACAACGCCCCGCAGCAAGCAAACAGAAAACACACAAAACAATTAGAAACAAAACACAGCTAAACAAACAGCAATGAAGTAAAAAATGTGAAAACACACAAAACAAAGGGCTGCACAGTATGGCTCCAGCGCGCACGCACCCATCCTCAAATGTGACTCCACGCAAACACTTGTGTGCGTGCCATGCATATGAGTGTGTCTGGGGTGCGTTCAACGTGACGGATGCGGGGAGCGGCAAGGAGCACACAGCAGGGCAGCGGAAGCAAGTGAAGCAAAACACAATCATTGGTTTATCCTGTTTAGTACATCGGACCACAGTAGACGCACACAAGTCCCCGCGGTTGAGTGCTGGCACGCACAGCCCGCACACAATTCTTCAGCCCAGAGTGGTGTACGCCAGCGCGGATACGGCGAGCAGCAGCGGGGCACACACCCACGCAGAGCTGCTGAGGCTGCCGTCGATTTCGCGAAGACGTGACGGTGCGCGGGTGGTCGTTGTAGTTGGCGCCTCCGTAGTCGTAGTGGTGGTGGTAGTTGGTGCTTTTGTCGTAGTAGTGGTTGTTGTGGTTGGCGCATGTTCCTTCTGACTTTGTGCCGGTACAGAAGCGGTCACGGAACTTGACGATGTAGTTGGGTTAACCGACCCACCTGACGACCCTGACCCACCGGTGCCCAGACCTGGTCCCTCTTTTGTAATAGGCCCCGGACTTTCTGTATCTGGACTCCCTGGCACACCGGTTCCCGCACTTGGTCCTTGTGATGTGGGGTTTCCACTTTGTGTCTGTCCAGTACTGGCCTGTGTCAGCGGCTCTGTCCCACCGGTCCCGGAAATCGTTGCCGGTTCCTGTACCGTTTCAGTCGGTTCTGCTGAGTCTGACGTACTGGACTCCTTAATTGGTTCCTGTCCATCAAGGCTCTCCGCATCTGCTGCCACTCCCAAACCGGGCGTAACATGTGGCTTTTCCGCATCGTTCCCCGGAATCTCTGGCGTACCGGCCCCCTGACTCTTTGACCCTACCGTGACGGTCGGAACTGAACTCCCAGACCTACCGGATCCACCCTTTCCCTGTTCTGTATCAGACGCCGGACTTGTTGGATCCGAATTCCCTGACGTACCGACCACTCTACCTGTACTTCTTGCGGTATCACTCCTCGTGTCTGATGCTTGTCCCTTATCGTCCGGATTTTGGGGTCCCGGTAACGTAACGGTCATACCTGTTGAACTTGGCGCCGTGGAAGTATTTGGTAACCCCGGAACACCTGCTCCTGCTGGCGAAGCAGGCGATAAACTGGGGCTGTTCGCAACTTGATCTCCACCAGTTGCTGTCACACACACAGACGGGCAGCAGCACAGGGCAAGCACCAACAGGGCGCACAGCAGACGGCACGTCATCATCATCGTGAGTGTGGTCATTCGGTGGTGTGGAGCTGATCAGCACAGTGAGGGACATGGAGAGCAACAGGGGAGACGAGAGGTGCGGCAGACACACACAGAGGGCAAACACACAAGAGAGGGCAGCAGCCAGGCATGCACCGTACGCCGCACACCACGCACAACACACACTCCAATCCACGGCAACAGGCACACACACACACACACGCAGCCCTGCCACAACACCAACACACAGATGGAAGGGGGAGAAGCAAACAGGAGCGGCACACAAGGCTCCACCGCATGTAAATACGGCGAGAGCGGTCCGTCGTGTCTGCACCCCTCACGGAGAGTACACACACACACACAAAAGAATAGGTGCAGCGCACACAGCAACACAAAAGCAAAGTAACCATCGAAAAAGGAGAGATCCCCGCACACCACGTGGATTGTTGGTCCACGGGAAGCGCAGCCGCCACCGCAGCAGCAGCCGCACACGCAAAGTCAAGCGCAGGGAATGGAATAAAGCAGCCATTTATTCGTGTTTCTTTTTGGAGGGTGGAAGGTGTCTGCATATGTTGTTATTGTTTTTGCGGAGGGCAAACCTTCATGCCTGCATCGTCTGTTAGGGTTCCTGCAGTGTGCACAACTGTTTCCTTCTCTTGTGAATTTTTATTGTTGGTGCAGCCAATAATTCAATTTGTGTTGTTCCTGCTTTTCGCTGGTAAAAGTGCTGCAATAGATGTTTTTATTTCCTCCTTCGTTGCTGTGGCACCTGATTCCTCACCGTTTATTGCGGTGGAAATGAGAATATGTGAGTGGACTCCCACGCACCAGAACGCACCTTCGCTCCTATTTATTGGTGCACAGAAGGGCATGTGTGTTTGGTGGTGCCTCGACCATATATTCTTGTGGGCGTACATTCCCCTGCAGGCTGAGGGCGGGGTGACGCTCCGTCGCGGTGCACTTCCCTCGCATGCCGCCCACTGTGATTCATCATGCATCACCCCCTCACATATTCCGTGGTGCCACACCGTTGATATTATTGCAGCCGCTGTGATTCCGCGTATTTCACGCATTTCATTGTGCCACAATACATCCGCTCGTGTGGCCGCCGCATCCAAACAGCGGTGCCCAACACCGTGAGCGGCAGTCCACATCCTTGCATGCCCCAGCGCAGTGGTGCTTGACTGTCAGCCAGGCGTCAGACAACACGAGAGTATTGTGCCGGCAGTACAACACACGGAGCTGCAGTGAATGACTCGGGCGGCGACGCATCTATTTGTCACAGGGCAGTGAAAAGGAGTCGGGCAAAATAATGCCGGCTGCATGCACGACACCATATCCACAGCCAAAGCATGCGACGTGATGTGTGTTTCATTGGTGCTGTGAAATGCCTGCAGACGACGTCACTAGTGGAGGCACACCACCCATGATCAGCAGACAGACAATAATCGGCATGGGAGGCCACAAAAGGCAGCAACGACGCCAGCAGGAGCAGCTCTCTCTCTCTCGCTCTCTCTGTTGCCTCCGAGAAGTAATTATTCCACCAGCCACAGCCGGCTGTGCCGTCGTTACACTCCATGCACGTCGTGGCTGCGTCAACACATCCTGCTCCCTGCAGCACCTCAAAAGATGCCTCACTCCGTCCACTAAGTGCATCGATGCGGGCCGTGCCTGGGCTGCTCGTCAGGACCACAGCGATGTGAGGGTCACCGAGTCGCAGCATGTTTGTTGTGACGTTGTTGCATGGCACCTGCACACACACACGCAGCGCCTGCATCCCTCCCTTTTGTGTTCGCCCTCTGCCGGAGTGGTCACACACACGGGCAGCAGCAAAATCATTTCATCCTCGACGATCCAAAATCAACACCGACATCCCTCGCGACGCAAAGATCTCAGCTGCCAGCACGGGCCTCCTGCCGCTCTGCCATCGACGCCGAAACACGGCACAGTGCACGCACTTATTTTCCTCGTGTTCCGTCAGCCGTTTGCTTCACACATTCTCCGACGGGCTGACGCCCACAAAAGCACGCCACAAAAGCCACTGTGATCACACAAGCTCTTGCGATGAGCGTCTGTGTGTGCATGGATCCGCTGCTCACACGTGCTGGCAGGCAGCCTGCAGCCGGTACCCTCGTGCCAGTCCATCGGCTCCAGCATGGGAAAGAGAAAACGGTCTATTCCTCGTGTACTTATTCCCACCGGCAGTGCCAACACGCTGGTCGCCAGCCGTCATTCCTCAGCACATCCAGGAATGCTGAAAAGTGACGTGGAACCGTCAGCCAGCAATGCCACAATCCCCGCACACATGTCGGCTCCACCAGAGAAGACACACAAACTACAAACAACACCCCTCACATGTCTTCCGGCCATCATTCCAACACACCGCGACACGCCAAACAGAAGTATTCGTCACTCCATGCACCTCCCCACACAATCAAATAGTCCATGCACCACGCACGGCAGCAGCTCACACCCGTCTAAACAAGTGTTCCTCGGACCAGTGTTATCCACGTGCTGCGGTGGGAAGTAAACAAAAGAGACGGGCCGCCAAACCCCAAAAGAGTGCAACGAATGGCCGCAAGTCAACGGAACGCTGCCACTCAAAACAATTCAGTCCTCATGCCCTCAGCCTCCCACCTTCTCCCACAAAAGCCCCAAGTGCCGCCAATCAAGCGCGCCGTCCAAAGAAGTCACTGTGCAACACCAGGAGGAATCGCAGTGCCACCTGCTGCCATCCGGGTCCGTTGTGGACGCCATGATGAGTAGAAACGCCCATTGGTGCTTCGAAACGACGCTGCACACCTGCGACGCATCATACGGTTTGAGACGCACGTGCCTCACCAGCACCACAGACGCCCACGCGCCGTCGGTACGCCCTACATCGTCAAGGAAGCAAAGGATACGTCAGGGTGGCAGCAAAGCACCCGCTGGCAATTCACGTCGCAGGCGTCACCACAAGCAGCTCCAGCAGCGCTGCAGACCGTGGGGTGCCGTGGATCAACTGACGCATGGCGTATGTGGAAAAGAAAAGGACGTGGTGGCTTTACAAGGATACGAGTGGCTGACACTTTTAGAAGGAGAAAGAAAACAATGTGAGAACACACAAAGAGGAATCAGGCGTCCGCAGTCAAAGCAAACCAGCAATCAAAAAAAGTAGGATGGGTGCACTCAACCACAACACAGGCAGAGGATAAAAAATACCAACAACAAAAGCCGAAGCGTGGGGGCGTCCACCCAGCAGTGGGGACGCGCAGCAACAGGTGGGACGACCAGCGCACACACTCTCATTGCCCCCGTAAAGCAAAACACACACACAGGGAGAGAGAGAGAGAGGTCGCCCACTCAATGCAACGGAAACAAAACAAAAACAGTTACGGTGCTCCGCCCATGCAGCCAGGCAGGACGGCAGCGGTGCGTGTCGTGCAAAAGAGAGCACCAACGGGCCTGCATGGGTGTGCATGCAATATATACAGTGGGCACATTATGTGTGTGCTTCGTGGGATGAGGTGAGGGCGAGAGTCCATGCAAGGGGACACACACAGAGAGTGAGTGAAAGACGAGTGTGTGTGTGGGTGGTGCATGGCTCTCTCTCACTCACTCTCACGCGGTCACCACCGCAGCAGCAGCCGCACACGCAACAACAAGAAGCAAAAGAGGGGAGGTGGTGTGGGCGACCGCGGTGCTGCCGTCACTGCTGCCAGGCATATCCGTTTCACCTGTTTTGGCGTTTGTGGTGGGCACTGTTGTGGATCCCGCACTCTGAGAGACCGTATCGTATTTGTTGGCTGATGCAGCTTCACCATCGGAAATACTTCCGAGTGGTGTGTCGCCGTCAATGGAGGGTCGGTTCGGATGATTGTTGGTTGGAGTGCCTTCTGTGCCAGTGTCGGACTGCATGGCCGTAGCTGCCGTGGTGCTGCTGCCGCTGTTGCCCTTCGTTGTTGCACCACGCATTTCTTCAACCGTCATAACCGGCAATCGTGAATCTTCCTCTCCACCCGTTGGTGCGACAACTTTTTCGCCGGCGTCTTTGTTCTGTTCAATGTCTTCTGCGACAGACTGCTGAGAATTCCTCGTGCCATTGCCGTTTTCGTGACTTTTCTCGTCACCACGGCCAGCTGCAGATGTGGATGATGGGTTTCCATCCGCTGCGCTGTTGGGTAATGGAAGCTGCAAGGGACTCGGCAAATCTTGTTTACCTTTATTTACTTGCAAACTGTCTTCTGATGGTGTTATCGTTTCAGCTTCATGAGTGCCATTCAATGATGGTGGCTGTAAGCCTTCGTTGTCATGCGACTGCCGGTCCTTCACTGATATCAGCTTGTTTTCAGGCTCTTTCACCTCTTGGCTTGTTCCATCACCTTCCTTTTCCTTTTCAACCAATTTTACATCTTCGTTTCTTCTTGCTTTTTCTTCCTCGGCAGCGCCTTCGGTTCCTGACACAGTTACTTCAGGAGGTGGTGAGAGAGCTTGTCCTTGAACATTTGGTAGTGGTGTTTCTGGGCCTGCTGTGTGTGATCCTGGCGTTTCAGGGCGCGGTGAATCCTGTGAATCTACACCTTCCCCCACAAGATCACCGGACGCATCAGACTGAAAACCTGCGGATGCCTCTTCACAACCTCCGTCGGCACCGCACCACAGCACGCAGAGGGCACACACCAGCAGCACACGGCCAGTCATCACCATCGCCATCACTCCTGTCACTTGCCTGCAGCCTTCAGCACAAACCAACTCCCCGTCAACGCAGAGCGGAGGCAAAAGGAGAGACACGGCCGCTACAACACGCACAGCCACCGCACAGTCACAAATGGCAGCAGCCCAGCAGCGGCAGCGCACACACACCATGAGCCAGTTGGAATCAGTGAAAGGGCAAAAACACACAACGCCCAGCAGCAAGCAAACAGAAAACACACAAAACAATTAGAAACAAAACACAGCTAAACAAACAGCAATGAAGTAAAAAATGTAAAAACAAACAAAACAAAGGGCTGCACAGTATGGCTCCAGCGCGCACGCACCCATCCTCAAATGTGACTCCACGCAAACAGTTGTGTGCGTGCCATGCATATGAGTGTGTCTGGGATGCGTTCAACGTGACGGATGCGGGGAGCGGCAAGGAGCACACAGCAGGGCAGCGGAAGCAAGTGAAGCAAAACACAATCATTAGTTTATCCTGTTTAGTACATCGGACCACAGTAGACGCACACAAGTCCCCGCGGTTGAGTGCTGGCACGCACAGCCCGCACACAATTCTTCAGCCCAGAGTGGTGTACGCCAGCGCGGATACGGCGAGCAGCAGCGGGGCACACACCCACGCAGAGCTGCTGAGGCTGCCGTCGATTTCGCGAAGACGTGACGGTGCGCGGGTGGTCGTTGTGGTTGGCGCCTCCGTAGTCGTAGTGGTGGTGGTAGTTGGTGCTTTTGTCGTAGTAGTGGTTGTTGTGGTTGGCGCATGTTCCTTCTTACTTTGTGCCGGTACAGAAGCGGTCACGGAACTTGACGATGTAGTTGGGTTAACCGACCCACCTGACGACCCTGACCCACCGGTGCCCAGACCTGGTCCCTCTTTTGTAATAGACTCCAGAGTTGCTGTATCTGGAGATTTTGGCGGAACGGGTCCCGTGCCTGTCTCTTGTACGGTATCGCGCGTCGTACCTGATGTCTTTTCCTCACCTGGTTTTTGTACCGTATCGTTCTCCGAACTTGTTCCTTGTGATTTATGGTTCTCAATTCGTGGCTGTTCCGCACTGTCCCCCGTAATCCCTGACGTACCGGCCACTCCACTTGTCCCTTTTCCGGTAACACTCCTCGTGTCTGATGCTTGTTCCTCACCGTCCTGATTTTCGGGTCCCGGTAACGTAACGGTCATAACCGTTGAACTTGACGTCGTGGAAGTATTTGGTAACCCCGGAACACCTGCTCCTGCTGGCGAAGCAGGCGATAAATTGGAGCTAACCATATTTTGATCTTCACCAGTCGCTGTCACGCACACGGACGGGCAGCAGCACAGGGCGAGCACCAACAGGGCGCACAGCAGACGGCACGTCATCATCGTGAGTGTGGTCATTCGGTGGTGTGGAGCTGATCTGCACAGTGAGGGACATGGAGAGCAACAGGGGAGACGAGAGGTGCGGCAGACACACACAGAGGGCAAACAGACAAAAGAGGGCAGCAGCCAGGCATGCACCGTACGCCGCACACCACGCACAACACACACTCCAATCCACGGCAACAGGCACACACACACACACACGCAGCCCTGCCGCAACACCAACACACAGATGGAGGAGGGAGAAGCAAACAGGAGCGGCACACAAGGCTCCACCGCATGTACATACGGCGAGAGCGGTCCGTCGTGTCTGCTCCCCTCACGGAGGGTATACACACACGAGAATAGGTGCAGCGCACACAGCAACACAACAGCAAAGTAACCATGAAAAGGTGATCCCCGCACACCACGTGGATTGTTGGTCCACGGGAAGCGCAGCCACCACCGCAGCAGCCGCACACGCAAAGTCAAGCGCAACGAATGGAATAAAGCAGCCATTTATTCGTGTTTCTTTTTGGAGGGTGGAAGATGTCTGCATATGTTGTTATTGTTTTTGCAGAGGGCAAACCTTCATGCCTGCATCGTGTGTTGGGGGTTCCTGCAGTGTGCACAACTGTTTCCTTTTTTTGTGAATTTTTATTGTGTTGGTGCAGCCAATAATTCAATTTGTTTTGTTCCTGCTTTTCGCTGGTAAAAGTGCTGCAATAGATGTTTTTATTTCCTCCCTCGTTGCTGTGACACCTGATTCCTCACCGTTTATTGCGGTGGAAATGAGAATATGTGAGTGGACTCCCACGCACCAGAACGCACCTTCGCTCTTATTTATTGGTGCACAGAAGGGCATGTGTGTTTGGTGGTGCCTCGACCATATATTCTTGTGGGCGTACATTCCCCTGCAGGCTGAGGGCGGGGTGACGCTCCGTCGCGGTGCACTTCCCTCGCATGCCGCCCACTGTGATTCATCATGCATCACCCCCTCACACATTCCGTGGCGCCACACCGTTGATATTATTGCAGCCGCTGTGATTCCGCGTATTTCACGCATTTCATTTTGCCACAATACATCCGCTCGTGTGGCCGCCGCATCCAAACAGCGGTGCCCAACACCGTGAGCGGCAGTCCACATCCTTGCATGACCCAACGCAGTGGTGCTTGACTGTCAGCCAGGCGTCAGACAACACGAGAGTATTGTGCCGGCAGTACAACACACGGAGCTGCAGCGAATGACTCGGGCGGCGACGCATCTATTTGTTGCAAGGCAGTGAAAAGGAGTCGGGCAAAATAATGCCGGCTGCATGCACGACACCATATCCACAGCCAAAGCATGCGAAATGATGTGCGTTTCATTGGTGCTGTGAAATGCCTGCAGACGACGTCACTAGTGGAGGCACACCACCCATGATCAGCGGACAGACAATAATCGGCATGGGAGGCCACAAAAGGCAGCAACGACGCCAGCGGCAGCAGCAGCTCTCTCTCTCTCTCTGTTGCCTCCGAGAAGTAATTATTCCACCAGCCACAGCCGGCTGTGCCGTCGTTACACTCCATGCACGTCGTGGCTGCGTCAACACATCCTGCTCCCTGCAGCGCCTCAAAAGATGCATCACTCCGTCCACTAAGTGCATCGGTGCGGGCCGTGCCTGGGCTGTCCGTCAGGACCACAGCGATGTGAGGGTCACCGAGTCGCAGCATGTTTGTTGTGACGCTGTTGCATGGCACCTGCACACACACGCAGCGCCTGCATCCTTCCCTTTTGCGTTCGCCCTCTGCCGGAGTCGTCACACACACGGGCAGCAGCAAAATCATTTCACCCTCGACAACCCAAAATCAACACCGACATCCCTCGCGACGCAAAGATCTCAGCTGCCAGCACGGGCCTCCTGCCGCTCTGCCATCGACGCCGAAACACGGCACAGTGCACGCACTTATTTTCCTCGTGTTCCGTCAGCCGTTTGGTTCACACATTCTCCGACGGGCTGACGCCCACAAAAGCACGCCACAAAAGCCACTGTGATCACACAAGCTCTTGCGATGAGCGTCTGTGTGTGCATGGATCCGCTGCTCACACGTGCTGGCAGGCAGCCTGCAGCCGGTGCCCTCGTGCCAGTTCATCGGCTCCAGCATGGGAAAGAGAAAATGGCCAATTCCTCGTGTACTTATTCCCACCGGCAGTGCCAACACGCTGGTCGCCAGCCGTCATTCCTCAGCACATCCAGGAATGCTGAAAAGTGACGTGGAACCGTCAGCCAGCAATGCCACAATCCCCGCACACATGTCGGCTCCACCAGAGAAGACACACAAACTACACACAAAACCCCTCACATGTTTTCCGAACATCATTCCAACACACCGCGACATGCCAAACAGAAGTATTCGTCACTCCATGCACCTCCCCACACAATCAAATAGTCCATGCACCACGCACGGCAGCAGCTCACACCCGTCTAAAGTGTTCCTCGGACCAGTGTTATCCACGTGCTGCGGTGGGAAGTAAACAAAAGAGACGGGCCGCCAAACCCCAAAAGAGTGCCACGACTGGCCGCAAGTCAACGGAACGCTGTCACTCAAAACAATTCCGTCCTAATGCCCTCAGCCTCCCACCTTCTCCCACAAAAGCCCCAAGTGCCGCCAATCAAGCGCGCCGTCCAAAGAAGTCACTGTGCAACACCAGGAGGAATCGCAGTGCCACCTGCTGCCATACGGGTCCGTTGTGGACGCCATGATGAGTAGAAACGCCCATTGGTGCTTCGAAACGACGCTGCACACCTGCGACGCATCATGCGGTTTGAGACGCACGTGCCTCACCATCACCACAGACGCCCACGCGCCGTCGGTACGCCCTACATCGTCAAGGAAGCAAAGGATACGTCAGGGTGGCAGCAAAGCACTCGCTGGCAATTCACGTCGCAGGCATCACCACAAGCAGCTCCAGCAGCGCTGCAGACCGTGGGGTGCCGTGGATCAACTGACGCATGGCGTATGTGGAAAAGAAAGGAAGTGGTGGCTTTACAAGGATACGAGTGGCTGACACTTTTAGAAAGAAAACAATGTGAGAACACACAAAGAGGAATCAGGCGTCCGCAGTCAAAGCAAACCAGCAATCAAAAAAAGTAGGATGGGTGCACTCAACCACAACACAGGCAGAGAATAAAAAATACCAACAACAAAAGCCGAAGCGTGGGGGCGTCCACCCAGCAGTGGGGACGCGGAGCAACAGGTGGGACGACCAGCGCACACACTCTCATTGCTCCCGTAAAGCAAAACACACACACAGGGAGAGAGAGAGAGAGGTCGCCCACTCAATGCAACGGAAACACAAAACAGTTACGGTGCTCCACCCATGCAGCCAGGCAGGACGGCAGCGGTGCGTGTCGTGCAAAAGAGAGCACCAACGGGCCTGCATGGGTGTGCATGCATATATACAATGGGCACATTATGTGTGTGCTTCGTGGGATGAGGTGAGGGCGAGAGTCCATGCAAGGGGAGACACAGAGAGAGAAGGACGAGTGTGTGTGCGGGCGGTGCATGGCTCTCTCTCACTCACTCTCACGCAGCCACCACCGCAGCCGCAGCCGCACACGCAACAACAAGAAGCAAAAGAGGGGAGGTGGTGTGGGAGACCGCGGTGCTGCCGTCACTGTCGCCAGGCGTTGCCGTACCATCTGTTCTGGCGGTAGCTGCTGCTTTCGCTGTCAGTGGGTTTGTCTCACTGGCTGTGGGCGCAACGTTGG